CAACTACAAAGTTGGCAAACAGCGGGAAAAACTCTGAGCAGTGGAAACGAAGACGCCGCGGTCAACCGCGACAAAAAGTGTCAGAAGCCTTTACTGTTGACGAGTATTCTAGAGGTAGAGGAACCTCTCACAGAAGCCACTCTTTTATCCTGAATCGAGATTTCCCGTTAAGAGAAACATTGCTTGAAGGCAGCGGTTACGATAGGTTTGGGAAGAGCTTATAGAAGACTGGTGGTGCTCAATGGTACGCCAGTGGCGAAAAAAGCGGAGAAATCCGTCAAGAAAACGCAAAACGGGACCCCCTTTTTGGCCGTTGGTTTTCACTCATGAACAGGTAACAGCTCAGAAAGCGGACGTATGAACGAGTTCACGCAACGCGTTTGGTGACAGCATGCCAAACCACGCTCCAATCGAGTTGCTCCAGTTGTGCCGCTGCTGGCAACGCAGCTCGTCCAAATCACCAAGTAAACTAGTGGGCGGATCGCTTTTGGGGGCGGAGTGCTTTCGAAGTCCTGCTCAGCAACCAGCGCACCTTTCGTCGTGAAGCGCCACACTCGCTTCCTGGCAGCCAAGTAATACAGGGGGGGGGGGGCAAAAAAAAGAGACACTTAGCCCATGGCGCACATCATCGAACTTTTCGTCGCACAGGGAGCCGATGTTAATGAAAGTTTTACGGCGGAATATTCCTTAGGTGTAAACAGAAGCAGGCCCTCCTTCACTGCCCCCGCCGTCTTCAGAATATGACGTCATCTGCCGTCACCGTCGAGCTCAACGAGGCTTACCGTAATCGCTCCGACCTGAAGCTGCTACATAATTTCTTCAATGATTAATTGTTGAATAGCTTCCCAGAGACATTAGCTGTGACCGTGGGAAAATCTTCTGATATCGTCGATGTAGAAGGCTCTTGTGTAGTCTGTTTGGTTAGGTTTCGCAACGCGTTAATAATTCCGTTTCAAATGTAGGGTGAAGTGTCTCTTTTTTTATCCCTGTATGCTTCCCCGATGCGGTGCGCTCCCTCTTTATCGTAATCGCTGCTTTTGAGTGCAACTGGCTAGGCCCACTCAGGGATGCGCCATGTTTTTCTGACCCTTTCATATTGGTGGACTTATAGGAAAATAAAATGTTCGTCGAAAAACGTGCGAGTTCCGGTTTTTAACTTTTCGTTATAAATCACTGAGGTAGTTTAGAATCACTACGCGGTTCCCTATAAACCACGAAAGGAGTAACATTGTTACTGGAAACCCTGGCCAAGCTTGCACAGCATCGATCACTCCTTGATGTTTTTCACGGAGTCTCCGACAGTGAAGGTCCTAGTGCATCGATCCGGTCCGACCTCTTCCTCCCAGCGAGCCAAAATACGACTCCTCCCCTCTCTCGACTGTCGAGGATTCCTCAATGCACGCGTGACCCTGGCCTTTAGTGCGGGCAGCCCGACTGCGAACTGGGGGGCGTGCAAAACGTCTTCCACTAACGTCCAAACCAGTAACGGTTGCACGGCTATACAAACCGAATATTTTCAGGTAAGGAGAGCGATTACCGATAAATTGAACAGCGATTTGTTGTGCCGTGGTGATGCTCAACGGTAAGCCGATCGCGAAAAAAGCAGAAGGATCCTTCAGGAAACGCAAAACGGGTCCCTCTTTTCTGGCTCGTTGGTTTTCACTCATTAACAAGGTAACAGCTCTGTAAGTGGACGTGTGGATGAGTTCACCGGAACGTCCTTAATGGCACCATACCAAACAATCCTTAATCGAGATGCTCCATTTGCTCCGCTGCTGACCACGCAGCTCGTCCAAATCGACAGTTAACCTTTGGGCGGAGCGCTTTCGAAGTCCTGCTCAGCAACCAGCGCGCCTTTAAGCGTTGGTGAGAGCACCAGATCTCGCCTACCTGGCAACCAGTTAACTGATTCTTGCTGTGTACATACTTCCCCTATGCGCACCGTCTTATCGTAATCTCTTCCTTCAAGACTTCCGACATTCATTTTGGGTGTTGTTTCAAACACTGCTAATACACAGGTGTGAGAGCGGCAAAAGTTATAATCTCTGATTGATGTAACGACAACGCGTTGACGTGTCCACCGCGTGGGACCATGATTATCAGATCGGAAAGAAGCTGCTTGGAATCTGAACATAGAAGGAATGCTAGTCAAGTGGAGAGTCGTTAAGGATATGAACTAACGTGACCATCTAGAGGACATTCTGACGGCGTAGTGTTAATGATATTACGCGCTACCTTGACCTTTAAATCCTTAGCTAGGCGATGGGAACAATCGATATGGTCGATCAATGAATATCAAATGGAAAAAATCCACGCAATCGCATATTTGCAACCCTTACGGCACACATAGGCACCTATAAGAAAATTAGGGAAAGAGGAGAGTCATATCTTGCCTTATCCCCAGAAAACATTCACATCTTGATTCACGACGTTGTGCGGGCACAATCGTTTGGAAACTTGCTTTATCAGTTGTGTATATTCCAGAAAAGTTCACTTGCTTTCAATGCGTTGACACATTCCAGTTGCAGTTCAGAGCCCCACAAAGTACTGAATGCTTAACATCTTTTCGATGTTGTAGTCTGCTGTGAACGATTGTATTTCTTGGAATTTCTATTTCTATTTCCACAATCATTATTAAGCGCATCATTAGCCTATTTTTTCTTTTCAATTCTTTTCATCTTCTTATGCTTTACGCCTTCTACTTGTAACGGCAGAACCTCGTAAAGGGGTTGCATATGCTAGAAATTCTGTTCTGTACAGTAGATTTTCTCATTTCGTCCATAAAATCACGTTCGAATGAATTCTCAACAGTGACTCAGATCTCAGGTTTGTTGGCTCTGAGTTTCTATACCTCTCACACACCATCTCTTGCTCTCTCCTCCACCTGCCCCTGCAGCACCTTATAGATTGGCCGAGAGCAGGCCGAGCCCGGAATGGCCCCTACCCCTTCAATGGTGATATAGCCTTTTCGTCATCTCATTACTTGAGCAGTCACGAATGGATTGGGTGGGAGGAGGTAGTCCCTCTCCAATGGGAGGAAGAGGGGTCCCCAAGCCCTAGATTCGCAACACTGGCGGGACTCAAAAGTGTGCGTCAAGGGCGCAAAGGCCTTGCATTGTTCGCTGCTGTAACTATCAATCGCGGCACACTAGAGAGTACGGCGTACGCAAAAGCGGCTGTGTTGCGACTCTCGGCTACGTTAGTGCCTCTCTCGCGTCTTCCCTTCTCGCAGCACTGTGTCCCTCTGTATACCACGGTCCGAATCGCTAGGGGCAATCTTAAGGGCAATCAAAGTGATTTCTACAGTCTTGGTTGCTTTTATCCCCGCTCACGTTCCTATCGGGAGTTGTCGCAGAACGAAATAACATGTCCATTGGATACCAATCCGTGCCTTTGAGAGAACTGAACGAATAACGACAGCCGCCATGGAGAGATGTGCAAGTGTGTTGGATATTTGATGTGAAACGGGCACTTGGACTCGACTTTATGCTTATACGAAGTTATACGATTTTCTTCGCTTAGTGATTTTAGGTCGAAGTTAACCAGGTGACACTGCCACTGCGTGCCCATTTATGCAACGGTATTATCCGCTTTTCTACCTTCCCATCGTTAATAAAATGCTTGTTAAATTAACTTTTCTTGCCTTCTTTGCAACGTATATGAACCTAGTGCGCATGTTTCTTATAGTACAATGAGCACAGCCCGTACTGAATTCTCAGCGGTTGTTTTCAGCTAACTCATTGCAGCACCCTAATTTTCTTGCCTACTATCGATTGGACGCCTGTTATCGGATTTGCTTAGCGGGAGGTCATTAACATCGGCGCTATCCGTATTGGATTCAGGGTGGGTAAGTTTTTGAGACAAATCCAGTTTTATTCGGCCATCTGAAATGAAAAGCTCAGCATCAAAAGAGGGAGTTACCGAGACAAGCGCTCCATTCTAAAATGATCTCTTGCATAATGCATCGGCGCATTAATGGAACAGAAACCTTCGTTTTCGTTAGATGGTTTTTGTACTGCCGAAAAGTTAGTCCAAGTCTTCTTGATGGGCAGCGTCTCCGTAGTGGCGAAATTTGCAGTTCAGGAGCACTACGAGTTGGTGCCACTATGGCTGACCATGCACATGAGATCCGTTTCTGGAAGGCTTCGATCTGGAAGCGTCAATCTCCAAAATGCAAAATCACGTCACACAGGAAACTGGACCAGTAACAGCTCGCTTCGTTTGTTCGGAAGTAGAACAACCCTACAGCAAAATGGAACACGGCTTTGTGTTCCATGCACCCGTCCCTACAGTACACAACAAACCATTCTGAAGAAGTGCGGCTTGTCCTGAACGAACTTCCTTATCATGTCAAAACAAGAGTCGTGAAACTCGAGAGTGACAGTAGTAAGTGTACGACACCTGGTAATCATCATCCTACCGTGTAAATACACTTTTCACTTCTACCTTTCCCTAAATCGCTGAGCTTACAAGGGCGTGCTGGTCCTAGGGAGACGTGCAGCGACGACATAATGCGACCGAGCATTTCGGTTGCGCAGTGCTCCAATGTGAGATCCAGCTGCAAAATCTGGTATAGCTCTGTGACGACGGGTACAGACAGTAATTGTACTCGAAGATGGTACAAATGATACAGGAACAGTACGGCAGAAAACCATGCATCCGACCATTGGCAATAAACAGCGGCACCGAAGAAAGCTGAATCGCAGATAGGAAGAGGCAGCAGGTAAAGGCGAGCTGAGACATGAGTGGGGCTGCGCAAGAAGCCGGAAGCTGTGTTGAAACAATGAACGGTACTGTGGCGGTGCGTTAGTAGTCGAGTGCTATGACCTGGATGACCGACTCTTATTCATTTGCCTCTCAATGGTGCACCTATCATGCATAGTAGTGGTACATGGGGTAAACGGGCTGGAGGAGAACGGCTCGACGGCAGCGAGCCCAGATCCAATTATTAGCCGTTCCACTTTATCAAAAATATCACAAATTGGTGAAGTAAATGAAGAATGTTGGTCGCGGATGTTCAGGATTCATGCCCGGCTCTCACGGAAATGGAAAACGCCATGGTCAACTGGGTTGGAAGGGCACTAGGATTTCCGGAAACATTTCTCTTTCAGGTATTGCTTGAAGATAGTACTATGTAACCTCTATCGATCATTTTGAGTTCTTTTTTTTTCTGCACAGATCCGAACCCCGTCCGGGTGTTACCCGTTCTCTATATGAAATTTTATGAGAGGTAGAAAAGAGTTCAGAAAAAAAAACATCTGGTTGTCCGCTTGCATGCTGTAGAGCAATCGTCCACGATCTCACCGATAAATCTTTGGCTTGAGACCCATAATTCACGAGAAGAGACGAACAAAAAATGCATTTGTATTGATAATTATTTCCGAAAAACCAGAAGGTTACGCGTTCGAATCTTCGTGGCCGCTTCAAGGTGCTCTTTTTCCATGCACTCCCTTGTTACCGCCCGACCTACCCGTGGCCGTCCCCTGGGTGTGGTTTTCGTAGGTATGTTTTTCTTTGGGAACCCGAATCTTCTTGCATGATTTTTACATTGCCTATGGTGATCACTACTGACGTATTGTTACTGGGAAGAAATGCGAAAAATTTTCGTGGACGATCCCGTCAGACATATAATCCATTAAGGCGAGCGAAATGTTGCGAAGAGGCTGAAAAGAAGTGGGAATACGTACGATACGAAACAAGGCACCATTGTGGTGAAAATGCCTTATAAACCACTTTATGGTCCGCCTGCCCACCATGGTAGCATCTCATCTGCGTCATCTCGCTGATCTGTATATTCACGTCTCCAAATCTTTTATCCCTTCGGAGCCCATTAGCTCTAATCTCGTTGCTTGCCTTTCTTCTTTGCATCGTAGCCTAAAGATCTATGTATTTCGTGTGTTTTGTTTCGGTTTTCTTCCTTTTTCGTTTTAATTGGCGGTCAGCTTCACGCTCCTACTTTCATTAACGAGCGCTCTCACCCCAACTACTTGATGCTGTGGCGTACCTTCATGGGCGGAATTTACAACAAAAATGCAGCCCATCAGGAATCTAGGTAGAGGCGGTTAGGGGCAGGGAGGAGAAAAAGCCAAGAAAAGTGGCCTGAATGGAACCGCTATTCGCTCGTTGATCTCCGCATTGAGACGAGTCTCATCATCGTTGTTGTAGTGAGAGTGTTAACGTTAGTAAAAGCCAAGAAAATGATGCGATTGCATTAAAAGCTTACTAACTTCAGGATTCTCCACCTGCCAGTCAAGGAGGCGGCACGGTAACGGAGTCAGGATCGGACGCAATTCTGTGTGCAGTTCTGGCGGCTAGGCAATGGAAAATCAATCAGGTTCTACATCCTTGGCTCCGAAAGCAGGGGTACCCGACAGGAGGCCCGTCGCGTGGCAAAAATGCAGTCAGTGGACGAGTAGCGCGTTCTGTGCGATGTAGGGCGAAAATGTTGACGCATAATATAATGTACCAGTTTAGCTCCGCACGCTACCGCGCGCATGAAACGGAAGGCCTAGGTGAAACAGGACAGCCGATAAAGCGTTAGGTTCACCGCTAAACATTGAGTTGCTTCGTAAAATGCGTTAGCTGACCGTTCCATAGGCTGCCCATCTTTGCAGAAGCTCACCGTTTGATACGCGCAGCGGAGCTAAAGTGGTGTCTGTAAACAACCACCATGCATCGAATGTCAGTGTAATTTAGCGGTCGGATTGTGTGTGATGTTGAAATAGAAACATCCAGCACTCGTTATCGTATTTTTCCGAACTCCACCATACATTTTTAGGAACTCTGGGGGCATAGCGGTTTAGTGGTATTTCGGGCTGATGATAACAACGCAAATGAAAGAATATTGAAATGAAATGCTTTATCTAAAGTCTGGTTTTGAGTGACCTCTATATTCTTGCGCATATCGTTATTATCGGCCCTTATCAGCCGTTATCACTTTCTGACCCTCCACCAAATATGTTCCCGTCCTACCCTCTACATCACTTCTTGAACCAACGCCTCACTGATGCTGGGACGCGCGCTATGGATATCATGAATTGGCGTTTTGGCGCCTCTTATCGGATGTTATCACTTTGGTTCCCCCACCAAAGATGTTCCCCACCAAAGATGTCCCGTCCCACCCTCTACTAAAATACAGCGCTCCACTGTTGCAGCGAAGCGCGCTATGAATTTCGTGACAAACACACGCACACACGCACAGACATACTTAGCGAATTATATACAGTAGAGTAATGTACGTTCTATTTAACTTGACGCGAAATTACTACAGTACGCTCTATGACTTGTGAACTGACTCAACCTCCTTGCCGCGCAAGGGGCTCGGTACAGGAGAAGCAGACCTTCCTTCTATATTGATCCAGGAAATTTTCTACATGTGTGTCTGTGTCTACATTTTCTACATTTGTTCAGATCATAGAAGAAGAAAAGCGCAAAGGAGGATCAAAGTTTGACACAATCCACGACATTGGAAAGCGACTTGTTGTCTACAGTAGCAAAGACGTACGTCTTCTTCACGTGTTCTTTACAGTAATTTCCTATCAGATTTAATCTCTAGGCTCATTCCTGCATCGAAAAAGCGTGCAAACTGGCCATGCTGCGATGTCGACCAATTCAACCCCTGGAAGAAAATCAGTGGGGAATCACCGGCGAACAAATCGAAGAGGAGATTAAAAAAGTTGGAACTTTCAATAGATACATAGCAATTCTTTCCTTTTGTTTAGTCGATAACGCATCTAGGACCTCGAGAAAGGCTTGATACCATGCTTCATCAACTGCACCCTCGGGACATCGTCAACTGCATCCTGCGACAAGCTGACATCAATCTGCCCTGTCTCTTCTAAAAGTAGGCTACCCTTCAACTTACTGTAGACTGTAGTCCAAACTTGTCCACCTATCCAAGCAGATTGCTTGTCTACCAGCAGCGCTCCCCACGAGCAGTGAGAGTTTTGCTGTGCCATCGGTACCAGTATCATTAAGGTAGCAGTGTCAACCTGTCGGGTGTACAATACAAAAGTTTTTGGAATCTTCTTGATTCGAAATCTTATTTATTTTTTACTTTACGAGGAACTCAGTCTTATAACAGCAGGTATTGCACAACGTCATCACAAGGGTTTGCAACGGCAAGGCAACTCGTCACTGCCATGGCCATTGAACGAAGGCGCATTCAAGACTATGAGTCGAGTAGTAGACTGTCGCATTCCAATGTCTGTTCATCCATAAACGTGATTCCTTCGCAGTGGTGCTGGTATAGGGCTCGATCATCACGTGAATGAGCGTCATCAAGTTAGTATGGTGGATGTTGAAGGAGCTCTCAGTCAAGCCCGAGGATTTCTCCCTAGCTCATCTTGGCTCGCTCATGTCAGTGTCAGATGTGGCATTGTCCAGGTATATGGTGATTGCATATGCTTTTTCTTCGTTGTCGCGCTGGCATGGACGCCTTGCTCCTCGCATAAGCTCAGAAGCATCGAGGACAACCCCTGCTTAGGAGCGGCGTCAATGTCGGCGTGAGGGTTTGCGATCGGGGTCTTACGCCGCGCTCGCTGCCCGCCACTACGCCACGCGGACTGCCTAAGGTAGGCCCTAGCAGCCCCGATGTACTCCGACAAACAAGACCTGCTGTAGGTTTACCTTGCCTACGAACACCCCCAATGACTCTATCTTCTTTGGGCCCTTATGGCCTACGATGATGTTTCCCTGGCCTGGCCTACGGGCATCACAATACTTTAAACGACAAGTACATGTAACATAGGTACGCTGCGGTTTTAACCGCTTAAGATATTGCAACATAATACAAGAAATGAAAGTACCATAGATTCATGTTTTGAAACTACGAAAGCATACTACAATGAATGAATACAAGAAGCACTACGATAAATGCGAAATACCACCTACTGCTCACGGGCCGAACCCATACGCCGTCCTTACGGGGGGGGTGACGTGGCAGAGCCCTACTGTTCATCTCGAGCATCCATGCCCAGGTATAGCATCTACGATGTTCGGTGACGTACTAAGATCCGAGGACTGCGGATGACGGCGACTGACAGCAACGACATCTTCGACGGCTGCGACGTGTGGACTGACTTGCAACAGTGCGCATCTGAACCCTGCTTCTCTGGCGCGCTCCCTGCGTATATTAGATGATTGTGCGCCAGGACCCGCGCGCAACTGACCAGTGTGACCCCTTTAAGTGTCGGGAAGTCACGACATTCATGCATTTTCAACGATGTGCTTAAACATTTGTTGAGAAAGAGACTTCCAATGCTTTCGTGAAAAATTCAGTTTACTTGTTTAACACATTGCGGACCGCCCTTATACGAGCATCTCCATACCTTTTTCATGTTTTTGAAAAATGAATCATCATTAGTCTGTCAAAAATCTTATCAGTGATGATACTTATGCTTTCCTGGTTCCGAAAATGAGTGCAAGCACTTAAGGAGCATTGAAAAATGCCAAATAAATCAGGTAAAACTATGACTTTCCGCTCCAAATCGTGCGCCACATGGTGGCGCACGTGGTACGCAATGTGTTAAATTTCGACATTATTTCAAAGGAAAATTCGAGTGCCGGGAAGAGAACCACTAACTCTGAAGCGGGGATTGTCCAATTTCCGCAATCAGAAATACCGAAAAAACATGCTCAACTAACTTTCCTTGACGAAAGCTGTAGCACCATGATTTTCTAGCCTCTTAAAAGTCGCAGAAGCATAAAGAGAGCGTATCGTTTGCCAAAAACGAGGCTTCGCGAACTTGCCTCTTACTTGTCCGCCGACTTCAACTAACTCTTCTCGAAGTTTTTTTTTTCTGACCTAGGAAAGAATGGTGGGCTCGAAGCGGGCCATATGTAATGAGACGCTACGTTGCTGATCGTTATTTTGGAATTGATCTCGATTCTGCCTTTAGAATTGCCCAACGATTTCTGCAACGGCAAGTTGTCGAAGACAGAAGTAGAGCAGCGGATTAGTGTTCCGAGCTCAAGCGGCGAGACGTAACAGGTTTATCCTTGCAGGTTATCGTTTTTGCTTCGTGAGGCAACATTGGTTTGGAAAATCTCTTCAATACTTTCTCAGATCGTGGCGCTTGCCCTATAGTTATCTGTGCAAAGAGTTTGCGAATTTTATAAGTTTGGGCGGTACTTATCAAAGGCTGCACATGGAGCCAAAGAGCTCTTGGCAGAGGTTTTTTGCAGAACAAGTGTGATCCTCCGTGTTCCGGAAATAAAAGTTACCCCTAGGAGCAGATTTGTAATCTGTAATTTGTATCTATCCATTTGTCTATCAGCATATCATCGAAGCCTACATACATATATAGCCTTGCGACGATCAGTTTTTTTGTTTTTGTTTTCGACGAGTCAAAAAAGTGTCTGGTTTTCTGCCGTTCGTGAGTTCAGCAACCACATGCTATAATTCTCGAATTCAAAGGGTGGGGATGCACTAGCAGAGTGACTTTGGCCATTACGAAGTGTAGTCAAAATCTCGAATTTCCAAAAGTTGGTCCCAGGAGTTATTGGACCCCTTGGGCAGAGATGTCACATTCGTTCACTCAAAACCGGATGAAGCGGGCTACGGATGCTAGCGCCTTAACCTTTGCTAGTGGCATGCAAGGTTGGGAAAAATTTCAGAAGTTATCGACTTCAAACTCATCAAAAAGCAGCAGACCAATTGTGAAGGAATAAGGTTTCACTGCTGCGAAATGATGAGCCACAAAAAATGCAAGTAAAAACACCGAACCACTAACGTTGAAGTTCAAGGCTCACCTCTCTAGCCACAAACACTGCTACGGCTCAGGCCGACTCATCACTGTGTTAGACTGCGTGGGCACAAGAAAAAACCCCCGTGACTCGGTTCAGTGGTTCGTTTGGCAGGTTTAAAGAGGAGATTCGAGATCAACGTGCCGAAGTCAAACAGTACCGGATATTTTGTCTAGATTCATATGACACATTGACCTTCATCCTTTTCTGATGGGTAGCAAGGAGTCGAAAGGTAGCCCATCACGGGCCGAAATGTAGCTTATCTCATACAAAGGGCGACCGGGAAAATCCTGCCCAGCGGCAGGGCGGGCTATGCCGACTGTCATGAAATTGTAGAATGAACCCTTTGCAGAATACTCCGTACGCGATAGTAAAGCTTGAGTGGAGTAAGCGTTATACTTAGTTTCCATAATATTAGTGTCGTTCTTTTTGAGCAAGTAAAATTTTCAGCTCAAATCTTAATTTGTATTTTGTTTCAGCTTGTACATCATCTGAAAGAGATTTGCCTACATTAAGAAGCGACATTTTTGTCTTCTACATTCATTGCTGTTGCAAGCCTGCATACTGTGAGGTCCAGCCTAAAATTAAGCAAACCGACAACTAGCTCTAACTCGATTGAAATGACGTGCAGGCTACTCAGTCATGACGTTTCCCCGAACATTCCGCTCTAAGGCTTCCCAAAAAGTTGCGTTCATCCTTTGGAATTCAGTATTTTCGCCTGTCATAACATCTAATACGAAGTTAACGCAACAGTCCCAGCAGGGTCTGCTTCTTTCAAAACTAATGGCACTAAAGGATGCACAGGCCCTATTGGAGAACATCTAAAGTGTAGTTATAAAGAAAACTCACCTGGGAAAAGCCTAAAAAGGGCGTTAAACTCCTCAAAGATGGGTGTGGTTGGAGATTTCTTCGGGACCGCCCACTTGCCAGCCGTGATTGGCTACGGAGGCATTCGCGCTCGTTTTGGGACCACAGAGGAGTATTTTTCCGGCCCCCTTGAAAGTAACAATGTGATCTGCCTGTTGCACTGGAATTGTTTCTTTTTTTTGATGTTGTTGTGATGTTGTTATGTTATGTATAGTGTTATGTAATTATGTTAGTGTTATGCACTGGAGCGCATTTAGTGGGGAAAGTTCAGACAACTCGTCCAACGCGCGTCTTCCCACATCGCTAAGCGGCAGAAGGGGAGTCCTGTTTAAAGCCCTGTTCGGCGTTTTTCTTTGGTTTTTTCGTCACTGTCGGTCAAATTGTCGCCTATAACTACATTATCAACGGTATTTAACCCGCAAATTCGTCCTGGGATTGTTGCTTTAAGCGCTATAGCGTCAAATGTATGCCCCAAAAATTTTCAAAAAAGAGGAGATGAAGATGAAAATTAGCGGAATGAAAAGATCAAGTCATGACTAAGTTTTAAAGTATGCATGGATGCTTTTTTTCATATTCTAGTCCAAATTCTCATCTTGAAGTAATGTCGTCATTCTTGGAAACTGGGCACATTATCACATGGGCCTAAAAGTCGTCTTGGTTCATTAAGGAAATAAAAACGAAACATATGAAAGAACAGAGCAGTAGAAAAGGTTCACGATTTATTACAGGAATCAATCGGCAACAGAATGCAATACTAACCATAACTAGTAGACCTATCCCCGATAAGTAAAGTCTGAATAAGGTGGTTGACGAAGATGGTAATTGCGCGAAAGGGGAGCGTAGTTTCGGCGCAGAGGCATTGGCGACCAACACTGCAAGCTCATGTAGTAGCGATGTAGAGCTCCGGATACCGACTTAGTAGGTCCGTCCAACCTTGCCGACATTCAACTCCCAACGACACAGAAGCTCAAATAGGGGACGGTTAATCAACACAACCAAACAAAGATATGTAAGTAAATTAGGAGTAACATCACAATTCCTTATCAACACAAAGCCATGTCTCCAACAGAGCCACTAAATTGAATCGCTTCCTGCCTCGTAATCTAGAAAGAGCTCAGTTTCTGTTCTTAGAACCAACCTTGGGAAGTCATAATTTTCTTGACTTTTCTCCTAAACGAGCTGGGAGAGCTCGAATTCACGACAGAGGGTGGTAAATCATTCCAGAAAA